AATCGCCTTTGGGGAATCGGAAAGCGGAACTTTTTAACGAAGCAAAACGCAGAACGCATCCCCTTAAGAAGATTAATCGATCCGCTGCCCGATCGATCTGTTTTCGAACGAATGTGTTGCAAGAGAAACGTTTTGGCGTCAACGATTCGCAATCTTCTCCACACTCGGACGTTCTTCCGGGGGTTGGAGGAATTAGTTTCACCCCGCTGTCGTTCTACATGAAACGAAACCGATTGAAATACGAAGTTCCTTGGAAGCATCGGGTCCGCAGAAACATTTAGACTGGTCCACTTCTTTTCCAGGGTTGGAAAAAGCCGCTGGCACGAACGACGTGAATAATAGTGAGTTCTCTCCCGGTTGGCAGGGATTTATAGTTCCTCTAAACTCCCAGTCATTTGTTACCTCTTCAATTTCTCCGGCCGGCTGCGCTGAAGATCCGAGGAAATTTGTGGTGAAAGGTGGCGTGAGAGGGAAAATGAAGCCTGTCTCATTACGAGGAAGGAAAAATTTGACGATTCCGCTACCTTCGGGATCGTAGAATTCCAGGAGTTATTATATCAAGTTCTTGAAACCTTCTGGAAGCTTTCATATTCAGTATCTTTTCAGAAAGATTCGAAATGAAATCGATAAACGAGATCAACGGACATCGTTAGCAGTTATCAAAGAACCAGTAGGATACTTCAAAAATGCAATTTCCTCGTTACAAACTTAGCAAAGACCAACGGAATCATAAAAACATTGCTGAATTGCCGAAAGACTACAAACGCCATTCAATAAATCTGAACTGGTAGAAATCTCCGATAAAATTATACTGTAACTAACGAAAGTCCACTAAAGCCGTCGAACCCCGACCAACTCCACTGGAAACAAGTTAAACCCGAAACGCGTGCATCAACTTCATTAATCTCCGTTTCGAAAAAAAACCCTCTCGAAAAGCTCGACCGTCCCAACCCTTCCAGGGAGAAGTATTCTAAGGGTCGTCAACTGCTCGCGCAACGAATCGAAGCGATCTCTATTGGCTGCCCGCTGAAAAAGTCCGCGGAAATTCGTGAAACCTGAAAAGTTTCCGGGGCCGACAGGGGTGAGAAGTGACGTTGCGTCGGGCGGAAGTCCCGTGATCCACGAGATACTCGAGACGGCGACTCTGTATTGGTTAACGAGGCGGGCAGCGAAGAACCGGCGGGCTTCGTCCCGCGAATGGAAATTTTCGAGACGGCTCGCGGAACTTCGCGGCCCGAACGCACTCGACGAAGCCCGGGATTGTCTGAGGCTTTCCCGTCGTCAAAGAGCGACGCGACGTCCGACTCAACCCCTTCCCGCCCGTCTCTCTTTCTCTTTCATAGAAAAGCGGAGCACCGGCGCGGCGCTACGCTGAAAAGGGAACTTTTAATTTGCGCTTCGGCCCCCGGCCGTAATTCAATTCGTGCCCGGCTCGAGCATCCTCCGGATCCGACTTTCGATTCCCGGACCATTGTCGGGACGAGATCCAACCATCTCGAAGAATATCCACGGCCGCTCTTTTGTTCGAGGATCTTCGAGCGATTTCGAGGGCGATTCGAGATTTCGAATGGCGCGAACCGTTTCAATGGGCACACCGGAGTTTCCTTTCGAAGTGGATTCAGACTTTGTCGCGGCAGATTTTGAGAGGGGATTTTGTGACCTGGGAATGCTTTTGAAGATGTTATTGGAGGAACTTATCGCGTGTTAATATTCTTTTGTGTGCGAGGACAGATAACTTCGGTGTAGCTGGGAACTCGGAGCTTTCTGGAGTTTGGAAGCTCTATGTTCCTAAGGATTAAAAGATGCGATACTGTTCTGAAACAGTATCTCTGTACAGCGAACTGTAATAGAAACATTGGAAACTTGGAGCAAAAGATAAGCTACGTAGCTAAATATTACTAGACAACAGTGAAGTGCATATAAAAATATGTCCCTAAGAATTAAAGGATGTGGTATTCTAAAACAGTATTATCTTTCAATTCTTAGGAACATGGAAATATTCTTACATCCATTTTACCATTGTCTAGTAGTACTTAGCTACGTACCTTATCTGTTGCTCCAGGCTTTAAACGTTTCAATTGCAATTCATGTAAACCGATAACGTTGAATGAGACAACGAAGGAAGAAAAAAAAGTAAACACAGACGCAGACGTTTCGAAAGTTGCCCGAAGTTTCGAAGTTCCGGAACGATTCGCGGCGAGATTTCTTTCGCGGGACGAGCCAGTTCAAATAACAATTTCGAGGTGAGTTTCGTGTAGACCGGCGTTAATTTGCGTGCGCGCTAAGTGGGCCGAACGGAGAACGGCTGCAGCTTTACGAGCCGCTGACTAACCGGCGCCGGTTAATTGACCAGACGAGCCACGGACAAAGCGGGCTACTCGGCTCGGAACCGCGACATTGTTCGGAACTCTTCACGCTCGGCTCAACCGTGCCCGAAATCCGCACTCTACGGGGCCGGGTTAATTAGATGCGATCGCCTCGTAGACTGTCCTCGGGATCGCAGGACGTGCGGGCCACCGTTCCGTGACGCGATCGCCGTAATTCCGGTTTCATCAACTGAGAACCTTGTTAAGTCCTTCGGACCTTCCTAACGAAGATCATTTGAACTGTTACAAACCTCTCCCGTGAGAAGCTAAATTATATGTCGAACCCTTTGAATACTGCAGAAGACGAAAGCCATAGATCGATGTTATTCAATTAATTATATTGCTTTCTTGTGACTTGTGCTGTTAGATACCGAAGGGTCTTTAAAGAGATAAGTTTTTGTCGAATTACTCTTTAGTTCGCAACGCTGTGATGATTGTACAGATTTTTCCAATTTATCGAATTCTCGTTTTGTTGAGAATGTCTTTGGAATTAAGAGAGATATAAGATTATCGTTGTTAGCGTAGGAATTTCTCTTTTTAGTGGAATCGCCAATGTATACAGGATCTGAGGACCGCAGCACTCTCGCAGAATTCGTCCGCTAAATGGAATCAACGAACGGGAATTACTTTAATTAGTGCGGTTTATTAAGCGGCTTTATGAGTCGTAGTAATTGCAGTGGCGACGAGTTATCGCAACTATTTTATCGGCGTCCCGCGATGGCTCTCCGTGCCCCAAAAACATGAAAATACGAAGGACTGAAGTTTATAGAAACTTTCTACCCGACAAAATTTTGTTCGATCCGCAATTCCTGCTGGAAACTTGTTCTACATAGTGACATAGATTTGTCTGCCTTCTATCTAAAATTAGCCTCGTTTAGAAACTGAAACGATATTCTATGCACCGAGCGGGAACCTCTAATTCCAAACGACCGACAACCTTTTCATCTTGGATTAACCGGGAGCATCTTTTAAGAGGACCGAACCGATTGAACGGTCCATTCAGACGTACAGGTCACTCAAAGAAGCGCTCAATCGAGCGGAGTACGTACTCGTCACAATTCGGCAAGGAAAATCAATCATCGAGAAGGTCAAGGACGCGGCAAACTGGCTTGATACAACAGGCAATCGATCAGGAGTGCTCATCCCCGCGATTCTCTCAAATAGAATCCTCAATATCGAACGCTCGTCTGCGTACAAACACTTTCCTCTAGTTTCGGCTTTCTTTCGGATCCTGTTCTCCACGTTGGACCTCTCTCCAGCGTGTTTCCCGAATCACAGTACGTGGTCGGAATGATTGAGAAGAGCCAGGGACGCCGTACGTGACACGCCTTTTCGGATACGTACACTCAAACTGAACGAAATGGACGACTGTCGGGCTAGGATTACGTGTTCGCCAGGTAAAGAGCGGAAAACGATAGAGCGATGGAGCTTTATCCCAGATAAGCGTCGGCGCGTTTGCATTTGCCACAGCTACGTTGGAATACGAATATATAAAAACACAGAGGTGTGACGTGAATGTATATTAACCCTTTGTGGATGAAAATTTCTAAGAATACTAAAAGGAGGAAGCTAAAACTGCCAGAGATAGCTAAATTATGTATCAAATTCGTAAGTATTAGAGAAGAAAGGGAAATCATTGATCATATGGTTTCTGAATAATTAAATTATTGGTTTAAATAACGTGTTTTACAACTTTCTATCGTAAGTTAAAATCTTGATCGCGAATCTAGTTTCTTCCGTGGAGCCTCGTTGTTACTCGTTTCACGGTTTTACTGTGCTGATCGTGAACGGATAATCCATTGCAAATCTATGACGATCCGAGAACAAGGTAGCTACAACGCAACGACGCGGTCTCGGTACAGTGATTCGAGTGGGCAATCAACGCGGCGTGACCTCGGTTTTACGGGGTCGTGTTCCGCCGCTGCATCCGCCGGAAGAGCGTCGCGTACTCGCGCGAGCGCGTCCCCCTGTTTGTCAAGTGCTCGGAGAATGTCAACGAGCGGCTCGTATCGGTCTCGTTTGATTCGTCCACTTAACCATGGACACCTCTTTTTCGTTTACGCCGATCGCATTACGCTTTCCTCGGTTTTATAGGGTATCGCACCGACACGACTTGACGACACGGCGAGAAGCCGCGGATAGAGAATACACGATTGACGCCTTGATAAAGTATCGCAGATACGCAACTTTCAGCTTTTTTGAACGCTATGGAAGCGAATTCTATTTTTGAAATAAAAGACAGAACTGTAGATAACTGCAACTGGACCACGACCCTTTACAGAACACTTCAGATTCTTAACGGTCCATCGGTGAAACCGGAGAATCATATAGAAATTTATTTAACAGGTTGGATGCCATGGGGGTCATCGGTGACTACAAATCGAATGACAATTCATTCGATTAAACAACTATTAGAAAACTTTTCTATATTAACAGCATAGATTACGTTTATAACAACGTAATTCAATTACATAAGTTGATAATACATTATTTTCATTTTCTATATTTGCAAAATCGTGCATTCAACGCGTTAATTCAATTTGGGCTTATTTCTACGAAAGCGTAAATTGTCGACTGATGTTGTTTATATTACGATTCCACGGTGATCGGATGAAAATCACTGGAAAAACTTACGATTGCCTGTTGATCGACACCATTCGGAGGTGGGGGCGGACTGAAACTGGCCGCGGTTGGTGCACCAGGGGCCGTCGGGTGTGGAGCACCGGCTGGTGGTGGTACTTGAGGCCCGCTGGGTGGTGGTTGCTGGGGAGCACCACTGTTGTCTTCTTTGACGGGCACTGGCGGCGGTGGTTTCACCTCACCGGCCGCGCCAGCCGCCCCGACGACGCCCGCTACGCCGTTAACCGGCGGGGGGAAGACACCCCCACCGTAGGGCGCAGCCATGCCTGTCTGCACCATGTGCTGCAAGAGAGAAACAATGTTTTTTAGTCTATGCGATCAGTTTAGGTATTAACATATTCAAATTACTAAGTGCCCAGATGCCGCAGTTTTTTATCGAACTGTCTAACTGTTGCCAGGGTTAGGTACTAAGGTATCTAAATATTCGAGTGCCTAGATCTGAATACCCGAATACCTAGACACCTGAGTAACTAGATGCTAGAATAATATGATACCGAAGTGCTTAGGCACTTAATACGTCGACCGTCACGGTGGTCACCCATGATCGGAGCTTTCAAATTACTCGAAAACAATTATAATTTGTAAGGTAACTGGCGTCGAATGAAAATGTTTAATAACGCGAATAACTGGATCATAGTGTAACCTAATAATTGTGTACCAAGTAATTGATAATTATTCCTTTTTACTTTTGCTACAAGAGAATAAGTGATACACAAAACGCTGAAGTTTTTCGTGGCAGCGTGTTAAATCGATAAATATTCGAGTGCTTAAATATTCATGTTCAGGTATTAGGTCTAGAACCTACAAGAACGTTCGCTAAACATCAGAATTCCTAGATTTTCAATTACTTAGTGATCGGAATCCATAGCTAGAAGAATGGCTAAATCATCGACTATCCGGGCAACTGTTTGGCTAAACATTAATATACGCAAATGAATAGATATCTAAGTGCCTTGCTATATAAGAGTCTATAAACCTAAATACATATCAGAATACTTGAATCTGCAAGAAGTCTAGGTATCCGACGACCTAAACATTCTGTTTAGGTCCAAGGATCTATTAAACCTACCAAATTTTTCAACGCCGAAACGTCTGAAACGTTTAAGAATCATTGTATTCGTTTACCAAGGCATTTACGAGCTAGAATACCTGAACGATCAAATGACGGCAGCGCTTAGAGAGCGGCGTGCCTGCATAAGAATCTCAAGTACGTCGAAATCGATCTGCCGCGCGAGCGGGGCTCAAATAAATATTCCGTTTCCCCGAACAAACAGCCGCGGCCGGGATTTTTGCATTTAAAATGTGACGAGCGAACAGCCCGATGATTTGTGCCCGCACGCATTCCTCGCAGCGTTACGCCAAACACGCTCAATATACACGGCTCCGCCAGAAACGTGGAAGCGGCGGACAAGTCGCAAATCATTTCGCGTGACGCACGCGGACCGATTACCGACATGCTAGGAAAACCCTCGCGGCCTGACCAGAAACCCTAAGAAAAAGCATCTCTTAGTAAACCGGCAGCTTTGTTTCTCGTTTCTTTCGCCGCGATGAATGAATTCCTCGCGAGCAAACCGATCCGCGAGCCTGGAAACGCGTTTCGACCTTCGCGACTAAACCGAACATCGATCACGATCCAGCTTTTACTCCATTAAACAGAGAGCACCGTGAAAGGATGCGCGGTGATCAGTTGAAAGCACCATTCAGAGATTATTAATGGTGGCTCCATGGAGCATCATGGACACTCTGCTCCGCGAGACTGTGATCCACCAATGGAAGAGGATCGTTTTGATTATATACGTTCGCATCGGGGGCCTTTTTACATGATGAACTTTGAACGATGCTTGAACTTGGTTATCCAGAAACTTGAAAATTTAATCATTTAAGCGCCTGGGATCTCCTGTCTTAATTTATCGTACTGTAGTCTGGCTCCGTATTTGAACTCGGGTCTCTTAGAACTTTGGTCTGGTTGATTGGGGGTACTTAGAAACTCTAAACTCGAATGTTTATAAGTACTTGAGGGTTCGAATGCGTCGATCTTTGCAGATTCGACTAACTACTACTAAAATTCCAAAAGAAATATCTGCCTGTCGAGCGCGGTTGGGAAAGAGGGAAGAGAATCATCAGGAACGCAGTGTAGAACATCCCAGCGTAGAGCGGGCAGCGCAAATGGAACCGATTTCTCAGCGGCCACAATAGAAGCAACTCGATCGCCGGTTGCAGTTCCCGCGGGACAGCTTATAGATGGTTCGTCCAGTATGCTCGTCTTTCGTGATTGTTCCCGAAATACCCTAGCCGGATGCCTTGAAGGAGGAATAGTAGGAAGTTCGCGGCCGGGCCATTTGTTACATTCGCAGTGCCATTTTTCTGAAAACTCAATTCCCGTTCGCCGTGACGCTTGACTGGCCGTTTGTTATTTACGGGTCGGTATCGGGAGTCGTTCTTGTTAGAACTTTCGCTGTGTTTCCCTGGATCATCGTTTCGCGATTGGAATTCATTAGTATCGATGGCAGTGATATTCTAGTGTCTAAATATCTAAATACACTTGATTTCTCAAATATCAGGAATCCTAATAAATCCTAATAAAACTAGAAATCGAAGTATCAACTACTAATAACTACTACTAGTTAACTACTAATAATTATTATTGATAATATTATGTCCAAATATCCAAATGCTTAGACGTTAGATTTCCCAAACACCAGAATACCTTGACACGCAAGTGTCAGTGCAACCGAATCCCAATAAATCCATACATAAAAGCCTCCGAGTCTCTAAAAAGCTCGATACCTAAATATCAAGCGACCCAATCTTCCCTCTTCTTCCCTCGACAACCCTAGATAGATCCGAATCTCTCGGGCAGCCATTCGTGCCTTATAAATCGTTCAACGTCCGATCAACCCAGCTAAAAGATAGAGGACCTTCTGATCCTTTCCAGTCGGCGACGAACTCTCTCGACGCGCATAATCACCGAACGCATTCACCGAGCACAAAGCTCCCCGGACGAGAGCTCCCGTTTCAAAAAAGAAAAGGAGAAGAAAGGGAGGAGAGAAAGCGGAAGAAAAAAAAACGAATCTGTTTTCCCACGACGGTGAGAGCCGCGCCGCCGTCGCTTTCTTCGGGAACGAAAGCGACACGTCCTGGGCGAGTTTTCCATCGTGAAGAGCCCCCGAGGATCGAGACGAAAAAAAAGGGTTCTAACGAGCAGCGCCGGACGACGCGGAGGAAAATAAAAGCCGCGAAGACACGGGGGAGTGCCTCGCCAGGGGGAAAAGGGACGAAAACAATGGACGAGGGGGAACCTCTCCGGATCAGCGGAAAGACGCGCGAAGAATGAACGCCGCTGAA